TTATACCCAAGCTATTTCTATAAGACAATAGCTACTACAGCTGTTGGCAATGTCCAACTTAGGCTTTGGAAACATATTTGGACTAAACTCACACCTTATAAGATTGAATCTTTCTATTAGCAACTCCGCAAAGGCCATTTACTAATGAAAGATGACCTTGCAAAAAAGGAATCATTAGTGATATGGCTGCAACTTGCCTGCTTGCAAGTAGAGATGCAAAATAGTGAGCCACTTGTTTTTTGCTTGTGATAAAGTTTGGCAATGGTGGGGGGCACTTTGGGGTATTGAATGGGTTTCTCATTTTAATCCTATTGCATGTTTTCTTGCATGGTTTGATATTGATTTCCTATTTGAAAGATGACTTGGTTTGTTATTATTTGGGCCATTTGAACTACTAGAAATAAGGTGGTCATCAAAGGTAAAGAATGGGTTCCAGAGAAAATTTTTGAACTTATAAAAGTTTGTGTTGCTTGGTCACTTAATGCTAAGTGGTCATAGCTTAACGTTAGTATTAATGATCTCATTAGGTTCCCTAATCAAGGTATCAACCCTCATGCCAGCAAGAAGAAAAAAAGTATTGCTAAGTATATGAAACCTCTTGCTTGACATCTAAAATTCAACACTGATGGTGCCTCTAGGGGCAACTTTGGTGATTTTGGAGTTGAGGAAGTCTTTTGGAAGGAGGATGGAGTCACACTGATTTTTTCTCGAAGGATATTGGTGTAGTGGACTCCATCATAGCAAAACTCCTTGCCATAAATGAGGCTACTCTTATTTTCATAGCTTCAGTTTGGCTCTCGTATCATTTATTTATTGAATGTGATTCTTAAAATGTCGTCAAATGGATTAAAAACTCTTTGTTGGTGCCTCAAAAATTGAGAAGACTTATTCTGCAAATCACTAAACTGTTGGGTCATATTAATTGTTGGAGAATCCATCATGTATCTCGTTTTGCTACTACTACTGCTGATGAGCTTGCCAGAAGTGGAGTCTTAAGATCCGCTGATCTATTATGGGTTAATGTTGAAGCCCTCCAACCAAGCCACGGGATCCTTGATGAGAACAATAAGAATATCTTGTTTCTTCCTGTTCCAAGTAGTAGTTAAATCTTTAATGTACAGCTATGACCATTATTGTTATCTTGATTTTGTGTAGGCACTATATAGTGACCACCCTGCTGTCTTCTTATGCTTAGTAAATCTATGTCCCCTAGATTTGCTGAAGATGACCAACTTGAGATCTAATTCTCACAAGGTTGTCTTTGGTTGTTATTGTGTTAGCCGACAACCTATTTTTGTATTTTATATCTTTCATAGTAATGAAATTTCAATCATTTCAAAAAAAATTATAAAACAAAATAAGTTTTACAATGTTATAATTTGATACTTCTCTTAACCCTATATGTATTATGAATGGATAACTATCAAAACAGTACAATAACTCTCCATTAATGTAAAGAGTTATAAATCAAATTCGTTTTCCCTTGTGTAATAATGAGGTAAAATTATAACCACGAAGAAATTGTGGACCTAAGACGCTCAATTTCACCTAACGTTGTTTGTCCTGAGGTTGACTTACCTTTCCAAATAACTGTGATTTATGCAAATGCTAATTACTAAATTGTACCGACACAAGTCCAAACCCAGTAGCTTTTTGAGCTTGAACCACGTAGCTCTCAAAAGCTTAAGCTTAAGTTACTAGTAGTAGTGGGTTAGGATTGTTATATAGGTCTTAACAATTATATTCACATCAGATGTAGGATGTTGGGTATCACAATCCCACCCACTCAAATCCTTGATATCCTCAACAAGACCACACATCGCATCCACAGGACCAAGATCTCACCAGAGCAATGTGAAAGCTCACATCGGACTGGCGTAGGTTCTGATACCATTTGTAAAGACCCAAGTTCAACTATTGGTCTAGCAACTTTTTGAGCCTGAACCACGTGGCTTTCAAAAGCTTAAGCTCAAGTTACTAGTAGTAGTGGGCTAAGATTGTTATATAGGTCTTAACAATCATGTTCACATCAAATGTGGGATGTTGGGTATCACAATTACTGAATGACTGTGATTTGTGAAAATGCCAATTACTGAATTAGATTAGATGTTTGAACCTTGAAACCCTACTAAACTGAGTGCTACCAGATATCTTCTGATTATGCCATATTCACTAGCTATAATAAGACAGTTAACGTGGCGCTACATATTTTATATATAATGGCTCAAAATATTACTTTAGAGTTTGATTTTTTATTAGTACTTGTCAAATTTATTGGCTTATATTGTAGATTTTGTGGGCCTTTTTTTTCCAAGACTTTAACCTGAAGGCTTTGAAGTGCAACAATGGTGTTTAGTTTGGCAAACTTTGGAGAGTTCACATGCTTCAAATTTTAACTAAGTAGATACATATATGTAGGCAAATCTATTTATGAAATAAGCATGTAGTTTCACTGCATTTTCTCGTTAAGAATAATCTCATGTATCGGTTTTGATTACATATGGTATGGAGGTTTATTAGACTCAGGAGTATGCAATTAAGAAAGGTGATCTCTTTTATTCTATTTTTCGACTGAAACGGGAGTCGATTACAGGAAGGAAGAGAAGCACCTCAACCCCTCGAGCACCTTGGGGAGCTAGGGGTTGCTGCAGCTGGTGCTTTTGCAGTGGTAATGTTTCCTCACGAGTTCATTTTCTCATCACTTGATTAATAAGTTATGCTTAATTAGCAGTAGCATCTAACCCTTTCATAGAACATCTTCTCATCACTTAATTACCCTTTTCATGGCTTGTGGTCAATCAATTAATAATAGTTAAATTTTATATGTATATTTCAGCATGAGAAGCACAAGTCAGAGAAAGATCCGTAGCATGCCCACAAGCACAATAGAGAAGAGGAAATTGTAGTAGCTGCAGCAGTGGGAGTTGGGGGGTTGCATTCCAGAAGAAAGAATTGAAGAAAGAAGAAGAGGAGGCTCATAGAAATAAGCACCATCACCTCTTCTAATTTACTGATACGTTTCTTCTTCTCTACGTCATTCCATGTGTTGTGTTTGTCACCAGTGAGCAACTACCCTTAATAAACACCATTGGTGTAGGCTTTGTCTGTGTATTGTAATCACTTTTTGCAATTGTTGTGTGTCCCTCTTAGATCATGCTATCCGCTTTTCTCAATCTCTATCTGTTTATAATAATATTTTCGGTTGTGTTTTTGCGATTTTTTTCACTGCTACCTAATCTTCTGTAAGGTATATTATCTAATTAAGTTTCTTCTTTTTTACTTAATTTTTGACTTTATTTGCCTTATTATCTAATAACTTGTTTTATTAAAATAATTGTAATCCAAGTACTTGATCAAGTTCATCACTTCAAAAGTCAATCTTTTTATTTTTGTGTGTGTGAGAGACTTTGAAATTGAATCATTCATGTATGTGAACTGCTGCTTGATTAATAATAAGAAATTATATAAAATTTTATTAATTCATAAAGGTTATTTTTTTTACTTTTAGAAATGGAAATTTTGAATCTAACTTTTTGAATAGAAAGAAGTATACACCAATTATTCAATCTAATGCTCAAACATATTTATGACGTAATACTTATAAAAACTCCTAAACTATTAAAAAAACTTTAAATAAGCCTTTATTGTTTTATTACTTTAATCAAACTTTTATATTTTTATTTTAAGTTAAATAAATCCTATGCTTAATGATTGACTAACGATTATTTGTCAAAATATCACTCATCAGTTTATGACACATAACATACTAACATGTTCAATTTTAGACTAATTAATTTTCATATCAATGTCACGTGAATATATAATGATAAGTGATGTTTTGACTAGTGAAAATTAATCAACCATTAATCATAAAGGCCTATTGATCCAAAACAAAAATACAGATATTTAATTGAATGCAATAAAAAAATAAAAACCTATTTAAACTTTTTTAAATAATTTAGAAGTTTTTTCAAATATTATAACTTTTTTACATATATTTACATTCACCTCTTTTTGACTACATTTTGTCATGTTTAATTTAATTTAGATATGATAATTTGGATAACGCAAGTCTTACTTCTATAGAAACTAACAATCTCATAATTTCTTAATGATTTGAAGCTTTTACATTTGAATATATTCAATGCTAATAGTTTAATCGGAAGAATTCACATACATTGATTTAATATCAATCTAATTTTTCATTATTTCATAACTTTTTTATATCATTTATATTCCGTTAATCCAACTATTAATTAGATTTCGTCACGTAGATGATTTATGCCAAATTAGATTTCAATTTAATTTAAAATGTCTAATTAATTATTTGATATCATAAAATTTAAATTGTTAAATATATAATGAAATAGACAATTCTCTCAATTGATGTGATAAAAATAATTAACTCGAAACTTCATATATAAAATGGGTATCAATAGATTGTTAAATTCAACGATCGATTTGTCATACATAAAATTATAAACCAAAATAAGTTTTACACTATTATAATTTGATTCTTCTCTTAACCCTATATGTATTATAAGTAGATAACTATCAAAATGTAAGGAGTTATTAATGAAATTCGTTTTCCCTTGTGAACTAATGAGGTAAAATTATGACCACAAAGAAATTATGGACCTTAGATGTTCAATTTCACCTAACTTTGTGGTTGTCCCGAGGCTGACCTGCCTTTCCAAATTAGGGTGATTTGAACAAACACCAATTACTAGATCAGATTAGATGTTTGAACCTTGAAACCCCACTAAACTCAGTGCTACCAGTTATCTTCTGATTACGCCATGTTCACTAGTTATAACAAGACAGTTAACTTGGTGTTACATATTATATATATATATATATATATATATATATATATAATGGCTCAAAATATTACTATTTAGAGTTTTATTTTTTGTCGTCGGCTTAGATTGTGTGGGCATCACTCTATCATCAAGCCCTTTGTTTCCAAGATTTCAACCTGAAAGCTTTAAAGTCCAACAATGGTGATCAGTTTGGCAAACTTTCCAGAGTTCACGTTCTTCACATTTTAACTACAGTAGATACACGTACAGTGGTGAAAATAAAAAATTTAATGTTTATGAGGTGAAATTATAATTTTTTTTAAAAAAAATAAAAAGTAAAATTAGAAAATTTGAAAAAAAAATTATTAAATTTAGGGGGAAGGGGGGGCGAGGGCCCTATTGTGGCTGACGTGACGTTTCCATGGCCTATAGATATTGCCAGCAAGTTTTGGGATTCCAAGGCTGGTTTTTCATGGGACAAGCTGCTTTGCTCTTTCTGTCTTTGAAAGCCTAGTGCGCCATGAACGTTACAAAAAGATAGCATCTGATTTTGAACCCTTCGATGTGCCTGGTGCCTGGCCTTCCAGACCAAATAAAGATTACAAGACTCCAGCTTCCAACTTATAGTATAGAAGAAGCAGAGAATGAGAGGAAAAAGCTGATATATCAAGCTTTAAAATCAGACCAGACAAGCTATGTAGTCATCATAAATAGTTTCCATGAGCTGCATCCAGCTTACTCAGAATATTACTCCAAATTCTTGGGAAAGAAGGCATGGCACATTGGCCCTGTTTCACTCTGCAACAATAACGACGAAGATAAAGCCGACAGAGGAAATGCAGCCTCCATTGACAGGCATGAGTGTCTAAGATGGTTAGACTCAAAGCAACCCAATTCAGTTGTCTACATATGCTTCGGAAGCTTATCCAGGTCTTCAGCTTCCCAGCTAAATGAGATAGCCAAGGGTCTCGAAGCTTCTGGACAGCACTTCATTTGGGTTTTGAAGAAGGGAGAGAAACAAGAGTGGCTGCCAAAAGGATTTGAGGAAAAGGTGAAAGGTAAGGGTTTGATGATAAGGGGATGGGCACCCAAGGTTCTAATTCTTGATCATGAAGCTGTAGGAGGCTTCATAACACACTGTGGATGGAATTCTACAATAGAAAGTATCAGTGCTGGGGTGCCAATGGTCACCTGGCCTCTTTATGCAGAACAATTTTGTAATGAGAAGCTGGTTACAGATGTTCTAAAGATAGGAGTGGATGTTGGAGCCAAGGAATGGCATATATAGATGGGTGGATGACACAAAATTTTCAGTGACCAAGGAAGATATAGAAAGGGTAGTAACTCGGATAATGGTTGGCAAAGAAGCTGAGGGAATAAGAAACCGCGCCAGGGCATTGAAAGATATGGCGAGGAAGGCTGCAGAGGGAGGTGGATCATCTTACTCTGATTTGAATGCTTTACTGGAGGAATTGATATTGAACTGCCCTTAAAAAGAGCTATCAGATATCTTTTCATTTTTAGCTACATCACCATGTAGAAAATGAAAAATTACTAAGAAATTAAGGATTAAGATAAGTTTTAGGACAGGTATATAAGGATATTTCAAGATAAAAATCATTTGCTTCGTTTGTACCTCCTTTCCTTCCTCATGTATAAATTTTTATTACATGCCTACTACTTGATGCTTGTAACTGTAAACAATAAATTTTTACTTTTTTTTGCATTAACTCTTTGTTTGGATATGAAAATAATATAATATTATATAAATCATTGTTTACACTACAAGTATGTATCAAGTAGATACATGTTAAAAATTTATACACGGGCAAGGAAGGGGTTTTTTCAATATTTAAAACTTAATTGATGTGAAATTTGTTTTATTATAACTCCAATAAGACCGTAGAAGCAATACATAATCGAAAGAACTGAATGTAGATTACTTTGCCTTTATGAAATTAAACACACTAAACATATTGTAACTTACTTCCTAAAACACTTTCAATTAATTAATGGCCTAAGAAAATACAAGGATAACATGCTATACGCGCAACCAAAAATGGAACAAAACAAGACCAAATAATAACGCAAGAAGTACAAGAAGCATTGTCCAACAACCCCTTTATTCCTGCTCATTATAAAGGCTATCATCCCCTCTAAACCGTTCCTCTCCGTTCTCTTTTCTTTTCTCTCACTTACGCATGCTCATAATGGAAGGCTCCACAGTCAAGTTCGTGGCTCTAGTTCTGATTCTATGTTGTGCACGATCAAGTTTGGCTGCAGAGTACACTGTAGGTGACCAGCTTGGTTGGAGGCCGCTTGTTAAATATTATAGTTGGGTTCGTAGCAAGTCAATTAAGCTAGGCGACACTCTAGGTTTGGTTTTTGCCATATACACTTGGGAATTATTGGGTTTAATGCCTATCGAATCAACTAACAAGCTGTATTTTTTTTTTCTTTTTCTGTCTTTTTATTGAACAGTGTTCAACTATGATGCTTCCCAAGGTTATAGCGTGGCAGAGGTGACACAGTTTAAGTTCATCGCTTGCAATGCAACTAATGCTAAATATTTTGACAACGACGGGCACAGCTCAGTCACTCTCACGGAGCCTGGCCAACATTACTTTATGGCCGCTGGCCATTGCGCTGATCAAATGGTGTTCTCAGTACTAGTTTAAGACAGACGGTTAGAAAGAGATCTTCATTTGCATTACTCAATAAGATATCCTTCTTTAAACTGATCTTCATTTGTATATAAGTTACGTAGAGGCCTGGAAACTCAAGCGGCTGTGTGTTATTCAGAGAAGTTGATGAGACTGATCGTTTTCCAACTCATAAATAAAACCAACTACAAAATACAATGAAAGGTCATTAAGAAATTAGTATGTTGTAACGGACAGCTAGTATCATTATAGATTAAAATTTAAAGTGTGACAAAATTTATAAAAAAAAAGCCAGAGAAATTTTCTTCCATAATTGAGGGGTATATCTTGTTTGATTTCGTTCGTTTTATTGGATTAAAGATCTGGCTCATAAATTTTGTTTGTTAGAATTTCTTTGATAGTCTAAACCTTCTGTTAGCTCTGTCGATGGAGTAACAGCTTGATTGAGGGCTGAGAATCAGTCTACTGCTTCTTGTCAAAGTGAAAGTCCGTGGACATTTCTGGAGTACTTTTTAATGTGAGATTCTGTTAAAGTCAGGATTGTGATGTATGCTTGGAGAATGTCTTCAAGGAGGCTAATTACTTCATAGATTCTCTTGCTAAATTAGGGATGGATAGGAAAGAAATGTTTACGGTCTGGTGATACTCTTAAATCTTCTTTTCCAAATTCTAGCCTCCTATCCACTGGTTTGTATTTATTATCCTGGCTGGGAGCTTTTTAGCTTCTATCAGTTTCGTTATGGTTGTTACGTCTTAGTCTGCGAAATGAAGAAAAATAGTTTCCTATCTTTGATTGATACATCACTGCATTATGGATGCATAAAAAGGACTAGTAGGTAACATTGAACATCCCTTGTTGGCCTTAATCCATACCACCAATCAAGATCCTTTTCCTTTTAGAAGAAACTGAGCAAATTATATAATTTTGGCTGAGACATATATTCAGATCAAGAAAACTCGAAGTTCCAGGTTGTGTGAAGACGTGGATTTTCAATTGTTGAAGGCATGGGACATAAATTTGAGCCACAGAAAGAAACTAATTATCTCATTGATAACTCTCAACTTGCAAACAACTTCAGAAACAAGAAACTGACTCTGACTAAACCATTGCAGACAAGACACATAATATAAAGCATCAAGGCTTGATAAATTTAACTCCACTCAAGGGAGCAGAGTTTTCACTGGATTAACAACCTTGATAGATTTCACAGTTGATGAGGTTGGAGATGGAGGAGACTTGGCAGTTTCATGATCACAGTAGCCTTGGAGAATGTCACCTTCTTCCGCGGTATAGCCAAGGGTTTCCAGCATGTTTGGCCAGCATTTTTGGCCAATGGTATGTATAGCGTGGCAACAGGCATCGCCAAGGTAAGTCTCGCCATTCAGGAAAAACAAGATAACCTCTCCAGTGCATGCTTGAAGCTGGATCAAAGACTCCCAGCAACTTGGTGATTCTTCATCCAATTTCAGTCGAGCTACAAGGCTTGGCTCGGGGGTATCCAATGGTCGGGCCTGGCTTAGCGCTGCCATGGTGAGAGCTAGAAGAACAGTGAGGCAAGAGAAGAGCTTGAAAGTTTCGGCCATTTATGAAGAGCAATGGTATTGCATGACAATGTGTGAAGAAATTTGGTGAAGCCAGATAGATTTTATAGGGATTGAATTTAACCGACTGTTACATTAAAGGGACAATCAAAAGCTATTATGATTAATTGTATCATTAAGAAAAGTTGAAGAGATTGCATAACTTAACTGGTGGCTATAATTAAGGTATAAATTAAGACTGATATATTTTTAAGGGAAACGGTTTCCAAGACCTTCTTAAAGGCAGAATATGTGCTCGAATCCCAGACGGCACAGCACCGACCTTAGCTCAGCTGGTAGAGCGGAGGAGTGTAGTGGGTTGCACCCTTGGCTATCCGGCAGGTCGGATCCTTTTATTTTCTCTTCTCTTGTGGTTCTTAATGGGCTCAGAAGGTCAGTGAAAAACGCCTGAACACTTTGGGCTTAGCCGCTTGCCCCTACATCGGATGATTGCCTGGAATTAGTAATCTGCCAAAGGAAATTAAATCATCCATGGTTCAAAGCCCAATTGCCATCCTTTGACATGCCCACTGCTCATCAAAACCGGCTTAAGAAACTCGCTTTCATTGGCCATAACTTACCATCTAATAATGGACTATCACATAGTCACAGGACCAGCCTGCAAAAAAAGAAGAAGTGGAAATCTTACAAAATCCCAATTAATCAGATGGTTTACCTTAGAGAATCTATTTCAAACTGCAAACCCAAATCTGTGTGTTGCAAACCGATAAATTGTGAGCGGCAGACCAGATGAGTCAATATGTCCTGTTGCAAAACATTACTATAACGTATTCATAGCTTTTCTCACTCGTTTATTTTATTGCGAAAAGGAGTTAAGAGTCCATGAGAATATCGCCCGGAAACAGGTCAGGACAGATTTGATTCAGACTTCACAGGTGCATTGATTTCCATGAAAGCCTAAAATTTTATCGCCATGACCACACCATGTTAGATACAGATTCCAAATTTAGGGACACCGGCTCTGACTGTATATCCACTATCCCACGATCTTTTCCCTACTTCTTTTTCCCCCAAAAAACCCAAGGTTTTATCCTAGTCAAAATTTTGCTCCCTGGTTCAAAGTTTGATTTCTGTTTGGGTTCTCCCAATTAAGAGAAAAAAAATCAACAAACTGCTAGGTAATGGTTTCCAATGGATCATTGGATCATTATCAGAAAGTTGTATCTTAGTCTTAATCCAATAATAATAAAGAAATAGAAAAACCCTTACTATATAAATATATTTAGGTATTGAGAATCAATTCGTTTATATCGCTGAAAAACTAAATTAGTTTTACATTTTATCAATTGAAAAAATTAGAAACAAAATAAAAAGAGTTTCAACATTGTGACTGTGTCACGTGCTCAACTTTAGTGCTTACAACTGGTCCGGCAGCTTCCACGTCTCGTCCAGCACCTCCAACAGCATTCAGAATTGATCCGATAGCTCATATGGCTTGAGCCCACGTGTCATGACCAAAGCTGGAGGTGAGCGGGGCTAGTGGAGCCTCTGCCTCTCCAACAATTATAAAAATTTTATAATTTTTTTATACATGATTAGTTTTTAAAAAAATTTATACTTTTATTTTTTCAATAATTTTTTATTTGATGAGATACCCCACAAGAATAGGTTAATAACTAATTTTAATAAGACTAAAATAAAACTTGTTGCAATATAATTACTCTTAAATCTCATTTTTTTCAAAATCTCACAATCACCATCTTTTGCTCTCTTTTCATTTTATCAAATACTATAGAAACAGAAAATTGATTTTTTATACTTTTTGGTTTCTCAATTTTCTATGTGTAAAAAATTTTTAGTTAATAACTCAATTTCCATATCATGATTATTGGTAAATTTGATTTATTTCTTTATTTTACTTTTAATATTTTTAATTTTAAATTTTTTTATTTAATAATTTCTACTTGATGATTATGATTTAAGATTTACCTTGTTAACCATTTTTTGTTGAAAGCAACGAAGCAAAGATTTGATAAAACACTTAAAGTTAGTTATTACTTATTTATTAAGGGATTACTTAATTGCTTTTTTACAAATTATTTGTGTTTTTTTTACTTAAATTCTTGCAAACAATTAAGTTTTTTGTTCGGAATTGTTACTTCATTTAATTGTTTATTAATATTATATTTAATTTTTATAATTAATTTTAGAGAATTGTTTTCTCATTGAATTGTTTATTGATAGTCCTTAATATTTTTTAAGAAATTGATTCACATTGAAATTTTTGTTATTATATTTGTTAATTTTTGTTTATTGATAAGTTTATCTAAAAATTGAAATTATTGTCATTATCAAATCATTTATAATTATACTAATTAATTTTTTTAAGTAAATAATAAAGATTTTTTTAAAATTTATTTATATAATTTTTATATGAATTTTTTTATCTAATTTGTTTTATATTTTTATTAAATATAAAATTTTTAATATAATTATTTTATAAACATTATATTTAATTTTTTATTTTTAAATATGAAATCTTAACTCCGTCACTTATCATGGCAAATGCACTTTTCACTTTCACTTTCCACTATATACTTGTCTCTTATCTTAAGAATAGATGATTGGTCAATACAAAGCCGAATACGCCTCCTTTCTCTCAGTGGCCTTTTCTCAAGAATAAAGAATATAGTAAAAATCTTAACCCTATTTATTATATTTCTTGTGGGCAGTCATCATCATTGTTAGTTTGTTACTTGTGGCTAAGTGTCTTTTTTTTTTTTTGTAATCTTAATTTAACGAAGACGAAAAGTTGGAATCAACCATGATTGAATGCAATGGAATGGGATTGTGGTTGTAGTTTATCAGAGGTTAATCCCACGAGGACACACCTTTAAGGTACTTGTACTAATTAATTAACATTGACATTATTATAACATGATTCTCGTAATTCACCCACTTATCTTGGAGTTTGGCATTTATTTAATAGTTTTTTAAGCTGCCCACATATGGAGAACGAAGATTGTGCTACAACTTAGAAGGAGAAAATAAACTCACAATATATTCCCATAATAACCATGTATAATGTAGGTTAGTGGTAATTAAAAAACTAAGAATTCCAAAAAAATCTTAGTGCATTGGATCTTAATAGTTAACCTTATCAGTATTATTTTCGTTATTTAATTATGTATTAAGAATCAAGTACAATTTTATACTTAGAACTTCTAATAAATCTTAGATTAATATAAATTAATTATACATAAAAATTAACAATGGTCAAATGTATAATAATCCTATGAAATTAAAACACTTTTGAGGATTTTTCTTTTTAAATTTTTTTTGTAAATATTTAGTCCATTCCAACAAAAGATTAAAGCAAAATCATAGTTTTCAATTAAAATTCTTGAATGTTGTACTCAACAGTCCTTATATTTCTTTGTTCATACTTGATATGACACAATAATTTTTTTTTTTTAAAAATGAAAACAGCTACAAGTATATTTTAATATCAAATTTTTAAAATTTTACTAATAATATTAATTTTCAATAATTTTTAATATAAAAAAGGAAAAATAATCATAAGAAATAAATATGATATATTAAAAAAATTATGAATATTGAATATTTAAAAATAAAAAAATTACATATTTTTTGAACGGTAAAAAAAATATTACATAACTTTGACTTTTTAGACATATAAAAAAAATGAAAATAAGATTAAGGGAGTATAATATATTAGTACTTCATTATCAAAGGATCAATTTATAAATGTTGGACTAAAATAATCAATTTTAACTCTGATAAGTATTTCATTTTCCTTTTTAAATAATGATAAAATAATATGAATAAATTAAAGAATTGATAAAATATTGGACAAAACATACTCTTAATTTAAAAATTGAAACGGAGATGCAATAAATGAAAACTTGGCATAATATTCAAAAAAGTTTTTAAATTATTTAAAAAATTTAAATAAGTTTTTATATTTTTATTACGTTCAATCAAATTTTTATATTTTTATTTTAAATTAAATAAATTATTATATTTTTATTTTAAATCAAATAAACTCTTATAACTAATTATTGACTTAGTTAAAATATCATTTATTATTTTTTATTAGATGGCATTGACGTGATATGTTAATATATCACAATTGATAATGATTTGATATTTTAATATATTTTAATTAATGATTACCTAATATGTTAATTTGACATGATAATATGACAATATTATATTTTTCACTCACCATATCAATGCAATGTTAATATTACGAGGATATAGGAAGTGATTTTTTAAGTAATGATAATTAATCAATTATTAGTTATAAAAATTTATTTATCTCAAAGTAAAATATAGAGATTTAATGTAACACAATAAAAAATAATTTTTTGAAAATTTTTTTTAAATAGTTTAAAATCTTATTTAACTATGATGTTTAAAAATTTTGATTTGGGCCTTTTTAACCCGTTACTGTTTCCCGCCCGTTTGATGGGCAAAATCACAAAAGCCCTCGCGGGCTTTTCTCAAATCCCAACTAAATTTAAACCCCACCGACCAAATAGCTAACTGCAAAGGAATTTTTCTAATTTTAAAAAATAAAAATATCAATTTAGTATTAAATTGAACTGTATAAATTGACATCAGCTAATCCGGAACACTCAGACTCTCAGAGCGATACTTCTGGGTGACAGCTAGTGAAAGCGACAAACAAATGAAGAATCACCTGTCACTAGCGGTCCCTTTGACTTTCTCCCAGAAACCAAAAAAAAAAGAGCATCACGACCCAGAATGATGACACCGTGTCTTCATATTAGCCGCCCGATCTAAAAATATCTTGTGGTCCCTTGATCAGTGATGATGTACGTTAAGCCTGATTAGCTGATTGCATTATTACAAGAAAATTTATTTTTCATGGTTTATTTCCCCCACCGACGGAAGGCATGAGACTGTTATTCCCGCATAATTGTTCTGGGACCCACTTTTCGACGTGTTGTGCTCTTTTTACACGTGTCATAATTGGGTTATTTTGTACTATGATTAGTACCAAGGTGTTAAATCAATGGTTTTAACTCTTTTCAAAAAAAACAAAAACCTGAGAACCATGATTAATAAGCTGTTAAATCAAAAATCCAATCTAATTATCCTCTTCAATTTTTTTCTCTTTTATTTCAAATAAAAAACCACATGATTCACGCCCATGGTTTGTCCTTTTCTCCCAGGTGGAATGCTTTGAGGAAATTGTTCAATCGCTCTCATTATAATTTTGTTACACCTTCTTTCATTGAAGCAATACTTTCATAATACAATGCATGAAATCAAGATCATCCTTTTCATTGTCAATTTGTTGCCTTCAACGAGAAAATATATCTGGTTTAAATATCAATTTAACATTTCATCGTCCCACACTCTTTAATGTTTTGTCTAATTTTATATTAATTGAGCTTATTGTGAGTTAGGTGAGGCCATGATTTGCACATTTGTCACGCATTGAATTCTCAAACACTCACTCATACGTTGAGCCGCTACTTCTTTGCATTTTTTGTTGTTTATGTATTCAAGGTGAATTATGTGATCAGTCGTATAAAAACACCCATTAAGATATTATTATATGGATAAAATATTTTTATTTTTTAATTATAATTTATATTTGATCATTTAATTTATTAATTGATGTATAATCCTCTTATTCATGAAGTAGGATTCGAATTCCTCTTTTTTCAATTATAAAAAAAAACTTTTGTCATAATTCCACGTGAATTTATTAATTCTTGAAATGAATAATGAAATTTAAAAATGTAAAAATCATTAATAAAAAATATAAAAGAATTAAAATATTTTTTTTCTTTCTTTCATTTTTCTCTCTCAAATAATATGGCCAGTTGATGACGCTCGGATTTGTTTGCTAACCACCCCACGACAAGTGCTTCTTAAGGGAGGGGAGCACCCTTGGGAACACTGGTGCTCCCTCCTTTAGGAGCACTAGATTAGTGCTCCCTTCCCTTGAGGAGTACTAAATCGATGCTTCCCTAAAAATTTTATTTTGTAAGAGAAAAAATTTAAATGAAAAATTATAATTTATATAAAGATAATTTTTAAAATTAATAAAAAGTAAAATTATTTTTTTTAATATTGTTATATCATCAAATTAACAAAAACATTAACGATTTATTAACGACTGGACTTATGTATTTAGCAGAAGATATTTTTTTAGAACGAATTGTCCATTTTAAAAACTAACAGATCCGTATAAAATTAAAGTTAAAAGTTAAAAAGTGAGAGTATTTTATCTTTATTATATTTATAAAATAATTTTTATCTTAAACTCAATAATTGATAAGAGTGTAATTCTCATGAATTCAATGAAAATATTATTTTAAAAAGTATATGAAACAATACCCATTTAAGGTTAATTTTTTCATAATAAGGGTGCATTAGCAGGTTGTTATTGTAACACTTTTAATTTACATGAAATATAATTGGCCATTTGTGTTAATAGTAATATAGGATTGTATATGATTTCTATCATTATATGAATATAAAAAAACAAATAAATTAATTCACGTAAATCAAATTGTTAGTACTATTTTCTTTTTGCACATAGGACTAGGAAGTATCTCATGTACGCCCCCACATATGGCACATTCATATCATAGCTATTTTAACCTATGGTTGGCAAACATGAGTTTGATAATTTCAAGGTGCAAATTTTGGAGTTGCATGTTCTCATCCAT